CCCAAGGAGCTTCGCCAAAGAATCCTGCGTCAGTTTTATTATGGACACTGTGGCATTGAAAGAAGAAAAATGATTGCACGAAGTTATGTTTGCTGGCGAAATATTGACTCGGAACCGGAGCAGTTGGCAAAATCATGTCTGAAACGTGCGCTTGTCATCCAAGCGAACTGTTTTCCTGACGGATGTCAACGAAGCCATGAAAGAGAGGAAATGCGGTTGTTCGATACTGTGAACAGACAACAGTATCTCATTGCTGTCGAAGCCTCCAGAAAGTGATCCGGAGTGTTCTGCAAGGAGCGTACAGCAGGTGACGGAACAATAAGCATACTGAAAAGACTTTTCGCCTAACATGGAATACCCGAGGCCGTAGTCACTAACAATGGCCCTTAATTCGCCTTTTTACAGTTTTCCGAGTACCGTACGCCGTACGACATCACACACTCACGTTCGCCTCTGTTCCACCCGTAATCCAATGGACAAGCGGAGCGCATTGTGGATACGTTTAAACGGACGCTGCGGAAGACGAAGGAAGAAAGAACCACCTAAGAAACAATGGATGTTTTCCTTCTGCTGTACAGATCAACTCCAAACTTCTATGTGCCAAATCAGCTGACACCAGCAGAAAACTGTACTCTGAGCTCATTGATACTTCCGAAGCGTATTGCCCCATAAGATAGGGACGCGAGAATGGAAAATTACTTCAATTAGTGACACAGGACGCAAACAAGTCTAGTTCACCCAGGACAGTGTTTCAGTCAGACAACAGGCTCGATCGAGTGCAAACTTGGAAAAGTGCTGTATAAAGTTTTGATAAGCGCCATGATTTGGATCAGACACACAAACAAGATGCGACCAACCACCATCCAGATAAGTATCAATGAATGATCACTGTCACTGGATATTGTGCTGGACAATTTCAACATACAACCTGGAACTGAAGGGGGACCTAAAAAGGCCTTGCTCATTAGCCACAGAAGGAACGAACTCGCAGGCACGACGAGTGACTGATTGAATAGCAAGATCTGTAGTCAGAATGCAGCTGGATTCCAGGAGGAAGTCATACATCACGTTTCGCACGGAAAGTGCGAAGGTGCGGGGAAGATTGGTCGCACGCAACCTTGCAGTTCACCAATGAGACTAACCTACTTTGAAGCCATCTTGTGAGCGCACTACTTGAACGGTCAACAAGCGAGTTTCCACGTATCTAGTAATTACTAGAATGCAGAAACTTACAATTAGGTCATTCACACGAACTATTTACTATGACCCCATATTTTGGCTGTACCATCTACCGGATGCTCCATACAAGTCTCGTCAGAGGCCCTTTGTCTTTCTAGTTGGGAAGTGGCGGGACCGTGATCCGGGTAACTGTATCGGTTGTCTGTACTGTCAGCGGAAACGCAACAATTCGTAGTAGGATCAGTGGGTACTATGCGTGTGCGCACTAGAGCAAGATCCGAATCCAGGCCGACAATTTGGAACAGAGGTGCGCCATCCGATGCCAATGGTAATACGGCCGATTCGGGTCCAGATTATCGAGGAATTCGGTGTGAGCCAGGTGAAACGAGGTTAATATAAAGATTTTGATCTGAGTATATTCGCAGGGTAAATCGCTATTGTCTGTTTGGCGTGCATCGACTCCGAAGCGGCCTCTCAGTTGTCAATAAGAGACCGAGAGAGGTCCAACTGGAGCATTCATGTTCCCAACAACTACCACAATATCAATAGTCTTCACCACACGCCTGAGAGGTGAGGGCCGATGATAGAATTCGTCTTTGATACTTTCCTATATGCAGTCAGTGGGAATGGGCATAAAGAGAAGCGATAGAAAAACATCTTGTTTTCAGACGGTGCTTATTAGCTCTAACAGAGGTGTACATATGCGACTGTTCAGTGAAATGCAGCCGAGCAGACAGTCTTTAACAAGTTTTCTGAGGGCGATACCGGCAAGATGAATAAATTGAGCCATGAAATCAGTATCGTTGTAGACGGGAGGAGTGCAGTCATTACCGAAATGTTCACACCACCATGGGCACATGGATACAGATAAGCAGCTTTTCATGGTAGTCAAGCTAACCAGTCAAACGCACTCGTTTATGGAGAATATTTCTAGTCTAATATCCATCCAGTGTGATTCTCGGCGCAAGGTCTAGGATACCATCGCACTCCATCCAAACTCAAAGTTGCAACCGAAATGGTTTCAAACATCTATGTTCAACCTATTTACACTTCTTCCGGAGTAGAAACTTTGTTAGGCGACATCCTGGCAAACCATGTGCAAGCGACGCAGTTCTGTCTGTCGTACCCAACTGCTGCGTAAATTTTGCTGAGTAGGCTAACACGCAACGCCACATGCACTCCGTGTATTCAAAAGGTAAGGTGAAGTCACGGAATAGATCACAAAAGTAATAACTCTAACAACCATTGAGAACCAGTCAAAGAGGTCAGTCCATTGACCCCCTGTATAAGCTCTGGTGACCACATGTCGATAATGGAGGACACAAGGAATCTGCTTAATTGCTAAGGGATGTGAAAACCTACAGTGTAGTCAGTGCAAATGTATGGGCCAGAAGTGTGGAGAGGGTGCGTTAAGATTAATAAGGCAAGCTGTGCTTGATCATCGATGCTTGGAAAGCATTACCCACATCTGGTAAGATCACCGAGTGAGTAATGATGAGATTCATCAGTTGGGATTTGGTAGCAAACGTTTTGGTGACGCGTTAAAGTCTCCGTTGGACTTAGACCATCACCTACGGTGGTTGAATCATGTCAACCGCAGGACTAGCACCAAGCTTCCTCTATGGGGACTGTTTACTAATACTGAACTTAACTGAATGAAAACCTAGGCTGGACAAGACAAGACCCAAGAAAATGGCAAAAGAAAAGATACCGAAGGTTAAGAGGAATTGGTGCAAAGTAACAATGTAGGTCATAAAATGGCCGCCAAAAGCATTTGGATATGGTATGGTTACGAATGCGGTTTTTCCTCTCTCCAAGTAAGACATTATGTTCCGTAAAAAGTGAAATGCTGCTCGTGCAAATCAACCATATGCATCAGTGAATAAACAGGAAGAAAACAGTGGATAAATGAGTGGAAACATAGCATCATGCTAATAAATTAGTGGAATAGTTTCGCAACGAAAGGATAAGCATAGTATTGGGAATCGGTTGTCATTATACAACAATATAATACACATGCATGTGAGAAACGCCTCAGCTACAGCGCCGCAATACGAAAGAGAAAAAAAACATGCAACATAGGTATCCCGGCGCAGTCACTAGCAACGGATAGACATCGTCCCGGAGAGGTAAAAGTCGGCTTTTGTGTCGCAAAAAAAGTTGTATTAAGTCTGAGAAATGAAATCGTGGTTCGAGGGGGAGGGACAAAGAAACTCCTAACACAAATGCCATGGAAGTCCACTCCTATCCATGTAAACAAGTGTTTTTAGCCAAACGTGTTCAGCGTCCTTCGGTCCCCAACCAGGGAGCCAGGAAGCCTCAACCGAGGTCAACTTCGAACTTAAGACTCTTGACTAAATCATCGCTTGGCCACGTCATCTTCAATCCGCACCCCGGCGCGCAAATAATGCACGTCGAGAGAGACCGTGAGCTAGCATGCGCAACACGTGGCCCAACCATCGGAGCCTGGTGCATGATATAACGGTGCTGAGGGGTTTGCTTCTTTTTCCTGCGCCATGAACAAGGTGTCTAACGCTCATTGCTCACACGGTGTTCCCGCTAGATATGAGCCAAACTGCGAAGGCACCGAAGATCGAACGTAACTAGCCTCTTTATGTCGGCTCATCTAATGGTCTAGGTTTCACAACCGTACAGCAGGGTCGACCGTACGGCTGCATTGTGCACTCTACTCTTCAAGAAGAGAGTGATGTCGCGCCGGCGCCATAAGTGGCGAAGGTTAGCGAAACCCCCATGAGATTTTGCTATACCATTTGTGATCTCGTCTTCGATCCTTAGGTCGCTGATACAACTTCCCAGGTAGTTGAATATTTGAACGATTTCCAGCTGATCCCCACCAATAGTCAGCGCAAGAAACAATCCCTGCAAATCTTAGAGGAAAGGTTTTCACTTCGAGGGTGAAAAGCATAACTCGAAGTGACTGATAGCCAGTGCTAATCTGCATAGTGCTGGTTGGCACGTTTGCGAGCTGTCACAGATGAGGGCAATATCGTCAGCATACTCCAAGTCAAGTGGTCGTTGGCCTGAGGGCAGTTCCATACCTTCCACGTCGTGTCCACTGAAAGCCAACTCCATGACTTCGTCAATAGCGAAGTTGAAGAGGAAAGATAACAGTGAGCATCTTTGTCTTACACTGCTGAAGATATTGAAGGGCGGCGACAGTTTGCCGTAAGTCATCACACTGCCTGTGCTACGCGCGCATAGCGCTCGGATGATATTTAAGTACTTCTCGGGCACATCTTTCCATCGCAAACAGTCCAAAAGAGTACATCGACCCACCTTTGAGGTCGAGGAATACGACAATGGTGGACCGCCAATATATGTGGCGGTGCTCCAACAACTGATGCAATGTGAATGTGGTCGATGCATCCCCGACCTCGATGAAACTCGGCTTGCTCCTTACGAATCTGGCTTTCACGAGCGCCAGTCAGTCTGTGAAGGATTACCGATGGAAGTAATTTGGAGACGATGGGGATCAGACTGATTCCTCTATGGTACGCTAATCACCGTATTTCGAAAAGACATCAAGAAATAAGTGATCCTAGGGCAGCGACATTGTATAAGTAGGTCCATCGGACGAGACAAAACAAACAAGGCACTTGTGGAGTTCAATTGTCAAGCATGTATTATTACGTGTGCTTTAAAAAAGAGGAGAATATAACAGTACAATCACAAGCATGGTTCGCATAAACGTGCGTAACATGATTAAGCAAAAGACACGTCATGCATTAAGGACAGTTAAATGGGGTAATTTAGAGATTTCGTTGTTGAACATAATGCATAAAAGAGTAGGTTAAACTGACCTTCCACGAGGGTAGACTACCAACAGAGCGCAGTATTTCAAAAAACGAGATAAGATTGAAACCATCGTAGTGAATAGCCACATGTTTAGTGGGGAATTTCAAGGTGGCACATGGCTGCCCCTGGCTGGGTTTTGCCAGACTAGATGGGATGAAGACTGACTGCAGGCCACAAGAATCCTCCGGATTTTCCGGCACATGCACAATGCCAATCTATCATAAGAAATATGAAAAAATAACGAACCATACCGCTCGAACAACTGCAATATATATCGCAAGAAGAAAAAGGATCGAAGGTCAAACAGTTCTGGTGGACACAAGCTTGGACATGTTGTTTCGATAAAGGTGGTAGCAACGGATCATAGGCTACGCCATTTCCCAGAGGAAAAGAAACCTGGGGAATATTTTGCAGGCTCAGCTTGTATGATTCAAAATTTGGATCCAACAGCGTCCGGTTAGGACGGAGAGTAACGTTCATTTTATGGTGCGCAGTAGTTGGGGAGAGTGGAACTGTTTTGACAGGCTGAAAAGAATGTACGGAAATGCGCGCCCTTGAATTACCGAAATAAGCAGAGTTCGTGCGGCAGATGCGCAAATGAAGAGCACAAGCGGTGTGGTAATGTACAGGTGCAACATTACATAATATAGCGCATGTAACACAAGAGTGGGGAATACAGTAATAGCACAGGTCAAGATAAGTATCGTTTGAGTGGCGTGTTTGGTTGGCACTGTAGGGTAAGCAAAGGGTAAATCGAAGAAGAACGAGTTGAACATGGATCACAGCAACGGTCTTAACGTGGTGCGATATGGTTTGCATGCTTTTGCGATCCATTGAGCTATACTGGGTGGTGTTTTCTGCATCTCCAGATCCCCTCATACGAGATTGGTGGATGGTTATAGGTCAGATAAACTCAATCTCCAGGCCATTTAAGTTGGGGTTTGAACTGGTCCTATCAGAGGATCCTCACAGTTTTTTTAACAGGTCATGGCGCCATTTGTGGGGAACGCTCCCTTAGGCGGCTTGTGAGCTTGATGGTAAATTATTCGTGGATTTGTGAGCGGGACATTAAGATACAATGCGGATAGACAGATTGGAAGGGGTGCTGGAGCAGCTAGCGCGTGCCCTGCGGTAACAAGGCACCAGGATAGAAGTTCTTCCAAATGACCGACTGAAGAACTTTGAGTATGCGGACGACATAACTCTTCTAGAATCTGACGCAGTGGCTTTGCAGCAACTACTGAACGGAGTAACACGTAGCGCTGCACGCTTTGAAATGTGCTTCGCACCTTCAAAGTGCGAAGAATTGCTGCATGACTGGATTAACACATCCCCGGTTTCAGCTATCACCGAACAGCCACTGGGAGTGGTGGATTGGTTCACTTACCTTGATAGCTGTGTCACATCTTGTGGACACATCCCTAAGGAGGTTATTTCGCGTATCAGCAAGGCCGGTGTGAATTTTCTGAGGTTCAACCATCTCTGAGACAACAACATATCAGCCTGTCAGTGAAAGATAAGGTGTTTATAGCTGCAGTAAGGCCAATGTTACTGTATGGATCAGAGACCTGGCCAGTTCGCAGCGAAGACATTGAACGATTGGCCGTGTTTGACCCGCGGTGCTTGCGGAGTGTTACTCACGTCTGATGGGAACACTGGGTGAGCTATGATGAGGTCCGCTAGTTGGTTTTTGGAAAGAAACCTTAGGGTTCCTCACTCGAGTGTTTGCTGAATCTTAATCGCTTACGTTGGTTAGGCCATGTCCTCCGTATGTGCGCTGAACGGCCTCGGCGTGCATTATACGCCGTGCTCGCACCGAATTGGGTGAAATCGCGAGGCGGCCAGTCCGTGATGTGGCATAGAAGCATGAAGAAACTGAGTGACACTCGGTCAGGTTGGTGCGTGCCGTTTTTATTGATGGGGGCCTCGGGATGGTCCACACCAATGGTCGGAGACCGTAGCAGACATGGCACGGTTGCGCAGTCAGTGGCGTTTTTGCGTTTAGTTTCTTGCGTCTGCTGGTTACATTTTTTCATTCTCAATAGCATAATACACTTCCTTGTTCCCATTTTCTCTAGTCGACCGGTGGCCCAGTGGTCTGCATGCTTGGCTAGCAAACATAAAGTCACCGGCTCGAATCCCCGTAGAGGCTGGCATCCTCGCGGCTTACTCGGCCCACGCGCGACTGGTGGTGATCGCATAGCAGCGCAGCGCCGTTATTGCGTACAGCTGGCGATGTATTCATTCTTCGTTCTACTTGCCTTTATCCACACTATCTTACAGTTGTTACTCATTTTTACTCTGGTGATGTGAGTCGGCAACTGGATCTACCGCACTCTGAAGCTCGGATCATAATTGTTCAACTGAACTGAACTGAACTTGTGTCAGCGCTGCCCACGGCAACGTGCTATTTCTGTAGATACTAAGAAACCCCGAATAGCGTCCCCAAAAAGGCCACTTGCAAGGCTTATAGGAAAACGGAACATTTCAAACGTGTGAGTACAACCAAAGCCGCTACTTCTTCCATCATTACATCCACTTTTGCAGTCTGTTTCGACGGCTGCAGCTCCAAGCTGCTTGGCTCGTACAACGAGAATTGTCGCCAACAACACCGAACTGCATGCCTTAAATGATACTGGCAGTCATGTGTCTTAATTCGTCGTACACTTCGACCAATGAAAAACTTACCCTTGTGACTCCAAAATTACTATAATTTCAACCTCTCTGACGTGAACGTTACTGCATATTGCAAGGTTGGAATTCGCTACCAAAATGTTGTATACAATGACGTTCAGCCTTCCGTTTTGCGTAATCGATGCGCTCGATGAGGACTTCCTTGGCTTGTATAACAAAGTAGGAATATCATTCGGTGAGGGGCGCGGTACTTTCTTGCTGTGTGGACTAACTGTAGTCAACATCGAATAAATTCGCTTATTTGCCAATTTGTCCTCTGACTGCAAAGCGCTTGCTACAAAGTCTCGTCGACACTCAACATTTTATCGAAGCTGAAATACAGAAATTGTTAAACGATGTCATCACTGAATCATCAAGCTCTCACTGCAGAGCACAGGTACTGGTTAACAAAAATGCCAACCATAAAAAAGGATGGTTGTTGATTACAACCAGACGATCAATCGTTTTACATTGCTAGACGCTTATGCGTTACCAGTTGACAAATGATAGAAGATGTTTCTCATTATGCCGTATACAGTACACAGGATCTAAAAAAATGCCTATCATCAGATCCCTATTGCTGAGCAAGAGGAGCGGTACACCACCTCTGAGACATGCGGAAACCTTTTCCAGTTTTTGCCGTATTTTATTTGGGGTCACTAATAGTATGGTTGTTTCCAGCGCGCTATCAACAAGATGCATTTGCTTATATTGACAACGTTAGTGGGTGGTGTAACTTTGGACGATCATATCCAAAACTTCCAGAAGACTTTGGCGTCTGTTGCTAAATACGGCATAATTTTGAACGATGCTAAAGCCGTCATTGCATGTATGTAGGTAATCCCACAGTCCAGCAACTAGACATGGAGCCAACAAAGCTATGGAGAGTAGCAGATAAGGGGAAATCACTACGTCATAAGCATCGTGGCATAGTAGTTGAAGGTCAACAACACACTTCAGCTACTTTGCCAAAGGAACATGTTGACAAGTGCCTCAGATTGGCAAATGCTGATCGGGCTTTAACGGTGCGAAGATAAAGTGCGTAGCAGATAGCGCCATCAGAAGAACCACAGCTCCCAACGTAGACGAAACTAGCTACCTGTTCAAGTCGTGCACCTTAGAGAATGAGCACGAACAGGTGCAAGCCGAAGTTTGAGTAGTACATTACACTTTGACTGGGCGAAGCTCATGCTATACTTAGATGCGTCAAACGCTAAACCATCCAGAATGAGTTGCATACCGAGAGGATCGTTACCAAGAAAGGTGATATCATCAATATATATATATATATATATATATATATATATATATATATATATATATATATATATATATATGCAAAGGTGCCTACCTGTCTCTTACGCACTACCTAGTTCATACTGGCTCTAGGAGACGGTTGGTCGTTGCTGGAGGGGACCGGGTGCACGGTCCTTGTGGCCGTGCTAGGATCGAAGAGTGGTTCAATGCACTCAGTGTGGAGCGGACTACGGTCCAGCCACTGCCTTGTGTGCGCTTGATTCCCCAAAAACAGCGTGCATGTGTTCGCAAGTGAAGGAGTGTAGGCCGGCTCCGCTGATGAAACGTGGCTCCCATCCACATGCCTCCCGGTCTTATTCCTTCGGGTTTACACTGGATATGGGGTGTGTGGTTGGAGCAATGGGTGGTGCAACGCAAGTCACCCATGGTCCCTCTGTAGGCGCAGGCGTCCTGTGGCTGATCACTGTGACAGGCAAATCCGAATCCGGATGCTGTCAACCATATGTGTGCCCCTATGGTGCGCTGCGGCTGATTGTGGCTGGATCCTGACAGATGGTCTACCCACTGCTGCTACTGTTACGTCGCTGGCTCATGTCCTGGGCGCCTCCTCGTGACGACCGCTGGGTGGCAGTTGGGCTACCCCTTTCTCCCTGCTAAGATCCAGGACACCAATCCGCATGAGTCTGTGAACTGACCATGTGCTAGACCCGCTGCCTTTCGGGTGTTCATTTAATCGAAGGCTTTGGCTGAGGACCCGAGTCGTTCTCCTGTCAGGTGTGGGCGCCCTGCCAGTATCCTAGTCCATCCTCTTCGGAGGTAAGGAGGTGGTCGATGGCCCTCTTCCCATAAAACCTAGTCATGGGAGACAACAGGTCTACGGGTTATAGGCTCACAGCTCGATTAGCGTAGAGCACGAGCGCCACGCATTGTCACTGACGATGGGAGGACACCTCTGGGTGTTCAATGGTTTGCTACTGCCCGCCTCAAACCAAGCAGCCCCTGGTCAAATTGGTGCAAACCCGCCAAAACCCACCTGCGTCTGGCGGTGGTCGCAGGTGTATCCTATTACGGTCGCAAAACATATATAAATCGTTCCAGTACCTACAAGGCTGCGTGTGACGGCCGTCAAGCAGATCCTAATCTGTCTCTGCAATCATTTTCCCGAGCTGGATCTGCTCCCCACTGTCTTGTGAGTCAGGCTATTGAGCCAAGGGTTCCGGGCGGAGTCCCTCAAGCAAACCTCCGAAGCACAACGACCACCTCGTGTGCGATTGCCCACCAATGCAATCGTATGCCTGCACGCAAAGCATTCAGCATCGGGTGCTGGAATGTGCGCACACTACTGGACCGGAACCCGAGTGAGGGCTCCGAGTGACGCACTGCACTGGTCGCGATGGCACAGGCGCACAACAACGTCGATAATGCGGCGCTCAGTTAAAACCCGGCTCGCTGAGCAAAGTAAGTTGCATGAAGCAGGTGCTGCCTACATATTCTACTGGGTAGGATACGCCGCCTCAGCACCACGTGATCACGGGGTCGGAGTTGCAATATCCGATCGCCTCTATGGCCACCTCGTGGGTGAACCAACAGGCATCA